GTGAACGCAACATATGATATTATGCAAGCATTCAATTACTTGCAATAGGCACACCTGTTGGAGGTTGGGCGAGGGAGGGAGAGAGAACAAAAATATACAAAATCATACATTTAAAACCACCGCACTAACTTTTGAAACAGGTCCAATAAAAGATCATGAATTTTCAGCTCAAACTATAAGATCTCATTCTGTAACAGTTATTTGCTTTGGTTTACACAAGACTATATTCTACGGTAAAATATATGAAATAAATTAACAAAAGGTGACAAATACTTACCAAAGGAGATGATATTGTAAATCGCATTGTCGAGGAGTAGTAGTCATAATTTGGTCCAGGCATAATTTGAGAGACATTCTTTGGAAGAGGCAAAAACTGTGGACTGAGCTCTTTGAGTTTAATCTCTTCCTGTCCAGGGAAAATTGGAGAAGAGAAGGACAGGAGGAGCATAACAATGGTAAGCAATTCAGGTGAAACACATACTGCTGTTCGAACACAATTATTAAGGGGAACAAAGACACAAAACAGGCAGATTATCCTTTTCAATCAATAAATGCACATCATATCGCAAATCATAGAGTAAGAAGCTACAATGTAAAATGTGTCTCGAACTTATTTCATAACTCAGTAGATTGTGTGCACTCTATATCTTTGCAAATGCTTCTTCGCATGTTCATTAGTTCTGGCAGCGACTAGAGGGAAGAGAAATATCTCAAAACAAACATTGCAGTTATAAATACCAAATTTTTTCCCAAAGCTGAACTTTCTGGAACCTGGTCTACGAAGTTAGTTGGGGAGAGCCTATGAGCAAGTCCCCAGAGTCCAGGAAACAAGAAAATAGGAAAGCAAGCAATTGTGCTTACAAGGATAAAAGTGTCTAACCTTGAACGAAACCATCGTAAATTGAAATCATTAGATACAAAGTCTGCCATGTACAGAACTAAAAGGACATAATTGTCTCCGTGGACCCTTTGCTACTTTCTGAGGATAGGGGGAGGCTGGTTTGATTATCAAGGTTTTGCGTGTTTAAGGTTTCTGCAACAACTAATTGCTATAAAAGGATTCTTCTAAAGTAAAATTTATAGAGCCGAGGAAATCTTAAACAAGTAAAGTAAATGACTTCAGGTTGGAAGAAACAGGAAGAGTTATCAGAAGTACAAATCAGGAACACAATTAGTTATTACCTTGACACTTGGCAGAGGCAAAGAAATGGAACACAGTCTAAAATTTTGCCCCTCCCGCAAAATGAGCACCAAGTGCTTGTCATTGAAATCGACATCTTCAATTATGAACTCTGAGTCATCACTGAAGATATTCTGCATTCTTGATGAGAAAGCTATGAGCCAAAGGTCTCACCATGAGTGAGTATTATGCTTTCAGATGAAAGGTTATTTAGCAAGCAGAAGGAAAGATGGCAGGCCCCGGGGGGGTTGCAATTTAGAATTAAACATGATAAAAGTCCCAGTACAATAAAAACTCACGTCCCACTTTCTTCTGTTCAGTGAGCAGTTAACTGGACTGCGTAAAAGATAATGGTGATCAACTGATTGTCCATCTTTAGCAGCATCAGTAAAGAGGTAAAGATACCCTTGGTGATGCTCAAGAATGCACTGGGCTTGAGCCTCACATTCCCACACAGGTACCATGCCAGACAAAGGCTCAGCAGTATCTATGAGAAAGATCTAAGAACTAGTCATTGACATAAGATTGATCTAACAGCAAGCCGTATAAAAAGAAAAAGTTAGATAATGCTGATAAAGTATCACCTTTGATGACGTAGTTGAGAATACATGTACTGTCACAAACTGGAAATCCTTAGTATGTCTTATGTTCACATAGCCATTCTCGCTAGGCTCTTCTAGAAGCAACACATCGTCTTGTTCAGATCCAATCATACTACAGTAGATCCTGAAAAAGAATTGGAAAAAACTGAGATAACGAACGTATGTCAGACCAATCTTTTAGCCAAATAAGTGAATTACCAACCTATAAGGCCTCTTACACTGATCAGTGACAACATAAAAAAGTGCTTGTCCACCTTTTGCCCATGCTATGTTTGAAACCTGGTCAGCTTGGGGCTGACTACAAAGTGAGCCGAAATTTAAGTCTCGCACAGATAACTTAAAGTAATCGTGATCCTTATCATACATAGTGTATGCCAGATATCGGTGATCTGGGGACACTTCTGATAATTCTTCATATGCATAACCTTTAATTAAACAAAGTAAAAAGGGTTAAGCGCCATGAGTAAAACAAACCATAAAAGCAGCAACATCTCGACTCCAAACTAGATTGGGGTCGGATATAGAAATTTCTCAACATACATTCCACTCCATTTTGAAATCAATATAAAAACAAAGTGGTGAAAGAGCTAAACCTCCAAATTTTTCAGCTTCTTCATTGTAGTCAAGAAGCTTCTGCTCAATTCTCTTGCCCGAAGTAAAATCAAAACCTGCTGAAGGAGATTTATTGGAAATGAAATCTTCATTCGCCCGCGCTAACCTCCTACACAGCACTGGATACTGCTTCCCTTCTTCCACTCGCCTATAGTACAACCTGCGGCGACCAATATCCACCTCCATACAGTAAACACAAGTATCACATTTCAGAATCCCAACAGCAACGGGATATGTATCCAAATGAATAAATCAATTAAGTTATGGGTGTAAAATAATTTATACAATGAGGTCATTTAAAAGGTAACTGCGGGTAACTCTATGTAATAGCATTGATTGGTAATCTTTAATAAATAGTAAGCAACCTGTTATTACTACCAGGTTAATTTACAGTAATGGTGTAAAAAATTCATTACACTGTCAGTGCGTGTAACTTAAATCCATGCCTTAATCTTAAACTAATTGGCGTAGGCTGTATAAATCACCTATATCCATTCCGCTCAATTTAATGCACCAAGAAAATTTTAACAAATAAAATGAAGCAGAAGAATACCAAGGACCCCAACGAAGGGGAGGGGTAGAGAGGTCATTAGACAAGCGAGAGCCCATTTCGGACTGAAGTTTGGACTGGAGGCGTTCGGTATCCGACATAACGGCTTCAGTGTATTTCTCCTCTTGTTCCATGTACGCATCCATGTGTCGCATGGCTACTTTGTCATTGAGTTGCGACATCCAGCTGTAAGGGTCCTCCCATGACTCGCCGTGATGGGTGAAAGTCACCGGCTTTTTTGGAGGTTTTGGAATAGACGGTGGGGATGGTGGTGGTTGAGGTTTCTGGGGCTTGTAGTTTGCACAGAAGATGAAATGGATACGTGGCGTTATGCGGCGGTGATGTAGCTGGTTGTGGCGGAGAGAGGTTAGGAAGTGGCGCATGGTGGTGGCAGGTGACGGAGAATTTGGGCTCAGGGTTTAAGCATATATCACCATTTTTACTCTTCTTTTTTTGTTATTTCTTTTTCTAGACAGACTTATTTAATTAAAGGTTGCTGGGGGGAGGGGGCGTATTATTAGGAATTTAGGACAATACAAGAGTTAAAAGCTTAAGAAAAGAGTATTTAATGTCGATAAATTTATTAAAATTTTAAGTTGAATTTAAACATGAATTTTATTTGGAAATAAAATTGGGGAAAGTTGAAGATTTGAGAGCAGATATAATTTCTTATGTTGAAATATACTTCCAAATTAGTCTTTTTTTTCCCCAACACATCCAAAGCAATATTAGTATTTAAGTTTAAATTTGGATACTTAATATTTTACTCAAAACTTCCTAGGCATTTGGAACAATATGTCAAATATATGTATCTGAGGTTTAAATTTTTTTTAAAAAATAAAAATTTAATTATGTTTAGACATGAACTTCAGTTTTAGAAACTGAAAAATGTTTGTAAAAAATAAAAATTGTGTGAGTATACATTAGTATTTCACTTGAAATATCTTTCAAACATGTTTACCCTTAAAATGGATAACAACCGAATTCTTACGTGGTTTTAAGAATATGTGAACTAATTCAATACAAGTGATTAATAACGTTAGATGAGCAGATTAAAGATAGAATAAATGGTCAAACCAGTTGTAAGACAGGGTTCGAGCTCGATTGTGATCCAGACAATTAGCCTGCCTTTGATTCGGAACCAAACCCTTACGAAGGGCTATGAATAAATCTAAGAACTTAGAATAATCTTTAGAAGCAGAGAAAGCAAATGTATATTGCCTTGATATATGTGCTATAATGTGTCTAATGAATAATCAGCTTCCCCTTTATATAGTAAGGGAGTTTTACCCTAAGTACAACTCTAAAAAAGATAAAAATCTTTCTCTTCGCTAATCGCTGATCTACTATTGATACGGGTTGAGATTTACGCCGTGACATCCGGTCGGACACGGATATCACGATCCATCCGTTCGGTAATGCTCTCCGAGGTCCCGAAACTCGAACCGGACCGGGGAGCATGGTCTCGATGACTCCGAGGGCAGGTGTTTTGCTCGGGCCTTGATGCGAGAGGCTCCTGGCTTCAAATCTGATTTCCTGCAGTTATGTCCTTGCTTCGTTTGCCTCGTCGGAAAATCAGGTGCTTACTACCCTGGTTTTACCCGTACACAAAAACCACTATTACAAAATTTTATGCAATTTTAAATACTGAAGATCAATATTTACAAATACTCACAGTCAAAACAGTATATGATTCATGGCCAAACAATTCCAGCGGTACTATTTCCTTTCCCACTTAATTTAACCAAACACTACGAAATTTGGTTCCTCAAAAAGAGAGAACAACGTTGGTCTAGACTTTAACAAGTAGTCATGCCTTCTAGGCAAGCACCCTTTTTCCCTATTACACTGGGAAATTAGGGAAGTGAAAGAGGAAATGCCTTCTTTTTTTTAAATACTTGCGTTTAACATTTGTTTGCTTGCTTGATTTGCAAGACTCGTTTTATTTGTGGATGATGTTCAATATTTTTACCAGAATTATTTCATTAAAATAGTCATCGCAACTCCTAAAGTACTAATGACTTGAAAGGCACAAAAAATAAATACAACAGAAAAATACTGAATAAAATTATTGAAATCCCAGAGTAATACATTAACAAAACAAGCCAACCAATATCACAAGACAACTAGGTACTTTTAACTGTCCATGATAGAAGAACATAACATACTTAAATCTCAAATGCAAATCAAGTAGCAATCTAGTCAATAGATGTGCTGTTGGAACAAGATGGTCTCATATTAACACGATGTATATATGTAAACATCTAAAACAACTGGTATTAAGTTGTGCTTTCCTCCTTGAGCTAGTTCAAAGACGCAGATATCAAACTCCTCCAAATCATTATCCATAACAAAATCTTCCCAACCACTCTGCATCACAAGTCCTTCCTGTCTGTAACTAACTGCAACTGCCCACCTCCTTCCACTTGAAGGGATTCTCAGGTTAATTGTCTCATATTTCTTCCTCATGTATCTGTTTGCCCATTTCTTTGGCAGTTTCTGCTTGCACATATATTCAACAAACTAGATTAACACAAAAACAGCTGAAAGGACACACGAAAAACTAGACTGATGGTGGGTTGCTAGTGAATATAGAGAGAGAAATCAACAGTTGCGACATACATTATATTAACAGAAGCAAGCAGACCTAGGATTTGAAAGTGAGGGGTGTACTTTTACATTCAACCAGAATCTGCTTTGTATATAGGGTGTAATTTTTGCTAAACTTTCTGGATGTCCGTGACCCCTCTCTTTACAACGTAGGTCCGCCTCTGATTACATACTACTATCACTTTGGCTAATGTTTAAACAGGAAGGATTTAACTTATATACACTTATGGTATAAAGAATTTTTACTTTCTCGTGTATTTTAACCTATTGTTGTTAGTTTATAGAAGGACAATAGAACATATACCAGCTGACCCAAGTAGACATGGGTAGGCTGCATTGTCATTAGAAAAGAAGGCACAGAAGATTTGTGTCTTGAAGCCTGTTGAAAAACTTCCTCTCTGTGTCGGTTTGAGAATATGGGCATTTTTTCCTCTGAACAAACAATTTCTCCAAATCAGAATCCATAAAAAATGTAGGAAGAAAAAAAAGAGACAGATTCAAAAGAATACAAGTGCAATTGAAAGAAGAGTTAAACTTAACCAGGTTCAATGTTTCTCTTGCACGTTGAGGAAGGTGTACATTCCCTTTTCCTATTGATCTGCTGCTTGGCTATCAAGATTTTCTTCATCTTCTTCCCTTTTCTAAGCTGAGATGAATGAAACACATACTTTTTTCCATAACTTTCTTCCTCAGTTGAATGTCCATTTTCACTACTCTCTTCTTGATCACTTGTATGTTCATCTGTTACTTCATCTGGATGTTTACATGGGTTCCTATTTTTCTTGACAAAGAAAGTCTCCTCTTTCTCGCACGCACTAAGGTCAAAAATAGTGACATCAAAACATGAAAAGCTTTTCATCTTGAATACTAACAGATCTGCTTCTTCCAAACAATGGTCTTTGACAAACTGTTCCCAACCATTGCAAAACACATAATCATTATCTTCTCTTTTCTTAACCTCAACTGTCCATGTATTGCCACTGGGACCCCTAAGAATTTTTCGGCCCAACAGTTTGTAACTGTCCTTTAAATTTATCACAAACTTGTGTGGAATGCGCTGAAGAGAACCCAAAAATGTGTCAGCTACAAATACATAAATTTGAGGAGAGAACTCTGCATTTTTTAAGAAAAAAAAAAAAGATGTAAGAAAGAAAGAATAGTAGAGGCTTACTCACCAATCTAGGCCTGAAATCATTCATCATTACTTTGAAGAACCGATGTTTATCGAACTCTTCCCAATACTTTTGCTTCTCAATCACTTTGCACCTCTCACAGGTTGTAGCCATTTCCTGATAACAAAGTTTGGTTTATGGAAGAAAAAAAGAGCAAAGGAAAAACAAGTAAAGCGAGGAGGCTTTATAAAATTGTGCTTCTTTGAAGAAGAAAGAAAGACGGAATAAACTTTATTTTCAATGAGCAGAGTGTAATAGTATGGACCACAACTTGGACGTTTGACGTGTTGAACACATTTTCATCATCTTCCAAATGAGCTGCTATTTCTAGTTAGAGTTCCAAGTCTCTTTACACCTTTTCTGCAGAGCTCATTTGAGGAAATATGAAAACTTGACCCCTCACAGCCGTTTAATATTTCCCCTGAGGAGGCTAAAGATATAATCAGAGATGAAAACTCTGAATTTCCATATTTGTATCATTTGCCATAATCTGAAATGATGTCGGTTAAACCAATTAATCGTATAACCTTTTATTGAATGATGTTGCCAAAATGAATTCAATGCATTCTGACACAAGATCCCATTAGAAATAGGAACAAAATAAGTCCATTTCATATGAATTGCCAGTTTCCAATTCGAGCTATCTTTGACTCTTTGTACTGTAATTCTAAACATTAGACCTTACATTTAATGCCAATATTGATCTCCATCTGCTGGACAGGTTCACTTGGCGCTGTAGGATTTTATAAAGAAGACACTGACGCATTAACCATGATTTTAGTCTGTTCTAGTAAGAGATACTACAATTGGATAAAATCAAATTGAAATTTGACAAAGTGAACCATGAGTTTTTGTAAAAAAGAAATTTTTGGTTACCTGGCATAAAATGAAATAAGTTGTGATAGTATTTGAGTTTCCAGATATCAATTTTGTAACTTGTCATTTTCTCTATGGTGATGGATTCTGATTCAACTATTTTAATAATTTTCCTCCTTTTCCCATTTGCCAGGCATTTTAGAGGATTACTTACGTGTACAAACGAACAAAAAAACAGAGATACACACATAGAGCATATAGTTAGCGAGCATCTTCCACTCTAATTTGGTTAAATCCTATATTCTACAATTTGATTACATTACCGGAGAGAGACATACAATATTACAAAAATTGTCAAATCTATACCAAATTAGCCATTTACAAGCCTATTCTGTAAAAAGAAGTGTTTGTGCACATTCATTGGCAAACGTATCTCGGTCCTAAAAGGATCCACTTTTCTGTTCACTTGCGTTAGATTTGAACAAACTGAAGTCTATAACCCAAAAGGCCAAACCAAAGCACTTAGATCATCTGCCCACTGTTTCTGCTTTTGCTTTCTTCTTTTACCATCTCAGTGTAATGTAATCCATCTCAGTATATACAGTACAACCTCTTATGGACATAACTTTTCTTTTGGGGAAAAATAATTGTTTGAAGCTTTGAGTTCAATGTGAGAAGGAACTTGCATCAGTGCTATAAAATGAGTACTCACTCAAGCTGAAGTTTAGCCGCTCTTCGTCCCACTTAATTATCTCTCTTGCATACTTGAGCGATTCATCTACTGTTTTTGGCTCTAAACCTCTTACTAGTGAAACATACAGCTTCCTGTTAGTGAGAGCAGAAAACAGCCTCTTGAATTTTACTGCAACATAATGATATGCCAACTGGCCCAACGAAGGGCTATGGTTGATGCTGGTGGAGTTGCTGTTGGAGCGATTCCGGCTAACGATTGGATGAAAATCGTCAAACAAATCGCATTCGGTCAAAGGAACATGTTCTAGCTTCTCCTCAAAAGAATCAAACTTGTTTAGTAAGAGAAGGAAGTCCATCTGATCAAAGGTTGGATGAGTCACGATGCTCTCGAAAAGTTTCTTGCTCAATAACATCTTGTTAACTGTCTCCCCAGTTTCCTCAACAACATATTGGTCATAGTCGCTTAATGAAACACAGAAAATGACCACCCGAACGTCTTCAAACATCTCAAGCCACTTACAATTTTCAATGAACCCTCTTGCCTGTACTCTAATCAGCTGAAATCTGAGTAACAGAAAATGTAAGATAGTTAACAACACATCTATCAAGTCCGTAAATGACGGGCTATTAATTACTTCACTTCTCACCCTATATTCATTTAAGCAGATCCTAAAATCAATTATAAGAAAGGATTATCTGCATAAAAAAGTTATACGTTGAGAATCCCAGCCCAATCGTTCGGTTTCAGTTCTCATATCAATTACTTATCATGGACCCGAGATTTATGCACCAGCCATGAGATGGGTCTCTTACCAATATAATAATTGAAAGTTTTTACTATGTCGCCCACTACATTCTAGGTTAATCCACATAAGTGAGAAAGTAGTAAGTCAACGAGGCAAAAGTGCTTCCCCATCAAAGGCATAACAGTGCAAAGGCGAGTAAACCAAATGTTAATTTTTACTTTTCAAACCTGAGCACAGAATTAGGGTGATCACTGCTGTCAAGATTATCATAATCTTCAGAATCTGGGAATGAGAAATCCACACATGAAAGTCCATTGGAAGAAGTAACACCCTCAGCATATAAGATATCCACATCTGAAGGTTCATAGTCTGTTTGTAAAATATCAACTGCCTGAAATAGGAAAACAATAGATGAAGAGAAATTTAGCAACACGTGAAAGATTGTAGGAATCAATTAAGGAACTCACAGTAAAATAATCCAAGCCAAATGCTACTATGTCAAGGTATACTAAAAACTTGGAATAAACAAACTAATTTTTCAATGTCAACCAAGTTTAGTCCACTAAAGTACCATAAAAGATTTCAATTTTTGTTCCGATCAAGAGTGTGCGGGTGTAATCAAATCAACCATCAAAAATATCATAAAAGGTAGTAACAAGCTATATTGCCAGAGAAGTTAAGACGCATACCAATTTCAGTTGTTATCAGATGTCTTAGGGTCTAGACTACTTGGGCATACCTTTTTGATTAATCCAAAACAGAGACACTTCACTTTTTTACGGTACTCAACACTTTTTTTTATAAGGTAAATTGTATTAATCAAAAGGGAGAGAACTCCTGTATACAGGAAGTATACCAAAAAGTAGAGAATTTACATCAGAACATGGGTACTCAACACTCTTATCAACAACAACAAAAAACCCACTGTAATCCCACAAGTGGAGTCTGTAGAGGGTAGTGAGTACGCAGCCTTACCCCTAACTTGTGCAGGTAGGGAATTGTTTCGAATAGACCCTTAGCTCCAAGCAAGCATGCAAAATCAACAGTATAGAGAAGAAATGCAGTAGTGTAAAGTCAGGCAAATTAGACATATATCTTCCCCTGATATAGTGATTCTTTCAAAGAATTCTATATTAGACAAATAATGTCATAAAATTTACAACAACAATTTTATTTCAAGAATACAACTTTGAGTCCCTTTAATAATGGTGACAATTTAAAATGATAAAACTGACAGTATTATCAAAAAGAAAAAAAAACTACCACTAGCAGTAACATTTACCATCAGGTGATAACCTCTGATATTAGAAAGGATCTCGTGCATCAGATTGGCTTACAACTAGTACTCAAACGTAAGAACATAGGCGAAGTCACAAGGCACATGTCGCAATAACAATAACCCGCCCTAAGATGGAACCTATTTTTGATAAAGAAGTCCTCCAATCATTATATTGCCCCCACTTGGGTCACAAGCCCACGCTCCTGAGCTCGACAAGATGGAACCTATTTTAAATAGCCTTTTTCTTTCTTTTAAAGGCATGAAGTGTCATAAAGTTAACAAGGGAGTAATCCTGCATCTTCTTGATGCCTTCCATGAATCTATTTACTTCATAAAAAATAAAAATTATGGGGGATAGAGTTCCTTGGGGCCAAACAATATTTGTCTATTTAGTTTGGACAGCATTGGTGGAGGAAAAATGTGAAATGAAGGAGATGAAATAGCTGTAGACTTTGACCATAAAACGAAGAATCTAAGGTACAAGTTCTTCAACCTTCAAATATCAATTGCAAGCAATTATGCATAAGTGTGATATCATCTAACTGAGTAAAATGTCAACATAGAATTTTCTTACCCGCTCTAAGAAATAACAAGGCATGTCATGAAGCATTTCCAGTTCACTTCTCCGCTTATAAGTAGCCTGGATGGCTGAATCATTCCACAACTCCTCAATTAATGGAGCATATTCCCGTGTTGCAGCTGGGAAAACGGCTTCAAGATTACCCGTGGCCATTATTTTGAGAAGCCAATCTGAGAATGCTTTCAATCTCGGAGGTATGGAATATAATGTTTTCTTTTCAATCCCAGTGCTATTCCCTGATGTCATAAGCAATAATTGTTACTTAAGGGGTATATTGCAAGAAATCCAGGTTCACCAAGTATCTGAGGAAATAAAAGCCTCTAAGCACACATAACTAGACAAAACAATTTATGTGAAAATTAAAACAGTCGTCCAATCTTCACCGCAGACGGGATTATTTATTTCATCGCACTAATTTATACACTCAAGTCTCCTGGGCTCCCAGACAAACATGACGAGATGCACACGAAGTATCATGTTTATGGAACCAATTAAAAGGAGGAGCCCGAAAATTGTAATACCTGTCAGCCTAGTGTCACAAGACAAAGAAGCCTCGCGCAATTCATTTAAACTCTCTTCCTCAAAGCGCTCGCGGCCCTCAAGCAGCACACCAAGGTATCCATATACATTGCTTTGGATCAACAATTTGATATGTTCTCTCTCATCCTCCGAGAAAGGAACATCCTTGTAAAGAATTTTTGCCTAATTTACCAACCATAAAAGCCAAATTAAATAAAGACAATATAGGGAAAAATCAAGGTGCATAATAAGTTAATTAACATGGCTAAATGGGAACTGCCCACTTAAATCGCTTAAAAAAAACCAAAAATAGAAAGGGAATCAAGAAGTTAGTTGAGGTGCCCAAATAGAAATATTTCCTGAACTGAACCTACCTTCTAAGGAACAAAATCAAGTAATAATATCATCATTAAGACAAAAATCAGCGACATGTGTTTTATATACAGAGCCTCCATCAAGTATATTTTTTAGTTTTTTTTCTCAGAAGGTAACAGATTGTTTAAATGTTCACGTTTCTAATTATACTGGTATTAGAAAGCATAAAAATCTGAGGAGAAATATAACAAGATGGAGCAAACCCAAAAGGCAAATGAGCATCACTTTGGCAAATCGAGGTACCATAACAAGAACTCACTGGCCCATACAACCAAAATTTAACCAGTTCTTCACCTCTATGGCTCTATCTCTCTGTATCATTTATATTTTAATATCTTTCAACATCCTACTACCTCATTCCTTCAATTTCCAATAAAAACATCTTTAAGATCATAATAAAGGCAAGTCAGGTCGCAGCAGCTGAAGTGATTCTTCTTGTCAGACAGGTCAACAACATAAAAGAAGCATCAGCACAAGTCTTGCAAAGAGAAAACTCTATGTAAGACAATATTACAGTATGCCACAAAATATCTAAATTGTTAAAAAGACGAAGAAAAAAAGAAGAAGAAGAAGAAGACGAATAGCCTCTAATTGCTCTCAGACAGAATACAAACAAAAGCGACAATTTGTAAACAACAATAAGCTAAAAAAAGGTTCTTCTCAAAGTAGTTGGCATAGATGCCCATAATTCCTTTCCCTTCGCTTTTTTGTTTCACTTTTTCTCATCTAGCA